GCTAGTGAGATGCCCCCCGACACTTCCTCACAAGAAAGCGCTTCGCGTGCGATCAGGCGACCATATTGCTGGCGAAACACACTGTCGAGACACGACAATCAGACCCCTTCTCACCAAATCGTTTCACCTAATATATGAGACTAACGATCCTTATGCTGGCTTGGAGACGAGGTGATCCTTCGAACCCCCAAGCCATACAATAAATTATCTCAAGTATCACCAATCACACCCAACTGGCCAGGAGAGCGACGAGAGACCAGCTGCGGGGCACAAGCACAGGTGAGGAATGGCAACTACAATTATATCTCTCTTCTTGTTGCTTGGCAAGGTAAGAATCAGACCCTCTTCCATTTGGATCAGAATCAAAACATCATATGGGAGAGATGGCCACTGACAGAGCCTGGCTGGGCCCGCCTGCCCCCTAGCCATTTCCAGTTCCCCCGTCCCGACCAAAACTTTGTTCTCGTGGCCCCGCAGACCTGAGCCCCCCTTCACCCCTTCTACCCCTCTCCCCGTCGACCATGGGCACCCAAGATCCCAGACAGAAACAACAAGAGCGGCCACAACAGTAGCGATGGCGCCAGACATCCCATCTCTTTTCTTTGTGGCTTCTTCGTCTTGTTGTTGTTGTTGTTGTTGTTGTTCTTCTTCTCCTTCTCCTTCTTCAGCTTTGCAACCCGAAGAAGCCCCTAATAAGAATGTGGAATCTCTACAATTGGTAGAGAGGGCCCAAAGACACCATGGAAACAGCCAGTGCGACCAAAGTCTTTACCATTTCCGTTTTTTTTTTTTTTTTTTTTTTTTTTTTTTTTTTTTTTTTTTTTTTTTTTTTTTTTTTTTTTTTTTTTTTTTTTTTTTTTTTTTTTTTTTTTTTGTTGATCCCTGCGTTCTCGGTATGTTTCCAATAGAGGAATGGTCCTTTCCCCATCCCCTCCACCCTACCCCAAAAGACAAAGTGTGGGGCGTGCGCAGTCAACGATTGAGTCACTGACAGGGGCAGAGCCCACAGTCTGACCTACTTTAAAGTTTGTGTCAAAATTTTGAAACAGATAGACAAATCAGCCTGAGACTCAGCCGGAGACTCAGCCGGAGAGGAACAACTGAATTTACATCCTGTTATAAGAGCCCAGAATCGCTATTTGCAATCCCCTCCATTCAGATTGCAGCGGACCTTCATCTGCCCTGACCTACAACCAAGGCCTATTTGGCTATTTGCCTAGTTCAACCTGTGGGACCAGGCCGTGGCCTGACCCCACAGGCTGTGTGTTGTTCTAGTCCTGCCCGGTACCACTGTCGGTACCAGTCCAGTCAGTCAGTCCGCTGAGGGTATACCCCAACAGTTGTCTGTTTTTCATCATTCTTCACTTTTGCAGATCTTGGAGTACGTGCGTGTGGAGTCCGCGTCGGGGCTGCGCTGTCCCTTCCAGCTCCATCTCTATCTCCTCCTTCGTCTACCCTTCTTCTCCATCCTGTCGGACCGCCATCCCGACGGGTCCGGCACACTGGTATCAGGGCAGGCGTTTCTCCCTGCTCCCCTCCCCCATCCACCCCCTTCATCATTTCACACGTGGCTTTAGCAAAAAAACTCGTTACTTCACGTTTATTATGACACCGGTGCACGTTTTTAATTATAACTTCTGCATCCGATGTCAGAATGTTTTCATCTTTAGCTTGTTGGAAAACTCTCGACGATCCTCTTCCAACGAGCCATAGATTGTTGAATTCTGTGCGCTAGTTTTGGAGCTACGGTCGTTCAAAAATCGCATTTTGTTTTTGTCAGCTCCAAAACTGCGCGCGCTCGTTTTTTTTTTACGAGCGCTATTTCTACAGGCCGCGGCTGAAGTCGCGCCATATCTCATTGGAAGCGCCTTCGAAAAAGCTTTCCAACAAATCCTTTTTTTCCAAATTCCGCCCAGCGGATCAAAAGTTATTGGCAAAAAACGGATTTCCCCTCTCTCTCCTTTCTCCCTCCCCGTGGCCACGAGAGTACTACGTGGCAGCACTTGAAGACCCCCCTGGCTAGGGGGCTGCACTACACGTGGAGAATGTGAGTTTGGGAGATCAAGATCTCTCCCAAACTTTCTACTTGGAAGATCTGATTAGTCTGATCAGATCTTTCTGCCGTGCAGGCAGCTTGTAGCAGTTTGAAGACCCCTTCTTCCAAGGGGTTGCTTGAAGACCAAGATTCATTGGATCTTGGTGATCTTGTTACTCTTGGCCAACAAAGAGCCTGGTATCATTGCTCTCCACTAACCTACTCTCCCCCCCCCCTCTCTCTCTCCCCTACTCCATCTAATCACCTTTTCTAACGCTACCACTACTCTCTCCTCCTCCCTCCCTCTCCACCCAGCTTCCGTAACCCTTTTCTCTCCTCTCCTCCCCACTCACCATTTCTCACTAATCTCATCTACTCCTCTCCACCCTTTTCATATCCTTCTCTCCCATTCTACCACCCTCTTCTCCTCCTTGCCTCCCCCAACTACAATCGCATCATCTCCCCCATCCCCCACCTTACCTTTTTCTTTCTCTTCTCACTTCTTTCTCTCTTTCTTCATCACTTTTCCATCCCCCCCCCAACCCAACTCCGAATTTTTCTGTTTTTCTTCTTTTCTCTTTCTCTTTGATGTAAAATTTCTCTTTTCTTCCAAAAATTTGAATCATCTTATTTCCTACTTCTTTTCTTATTTTTTAATTTATTTTTTGATTTATTTTATTTATTCTGAAAATTCGTAATTTTCTGCGGCACCTCTATATCTTGCTAGGACTGATTCTTTCTTTGTCGTAAATGCACATTTTGACCACTTGAGGGTAGCGAAGCGCTGGCCAAATTTTTCCATTCTACTTAGTCTTTTCTTGACGGCATACTTCGATCCCATGGGGGTAACGAAATGCTGCCGAAATTTTTGAAAATTTTTCAAAACTTAGCTTCTCTTCACTCTCTTCCACCTCCTTATTTATTTATTTATTTACTTTTTTTCTTTCTTTTTTTTTTTTTTTTTTTTTTTTTTTTTTCCTGAGAATTTTAATTTGCGGCATTTTGAAAGTTAGTGTGTCCCTCTTGCACTTTCCTTCCTCTTGGCACATTTTTGACCCCATGCGGGGTGAGAAAATGCTGCCGAAAATTCCAGAAAAATAAATATTCTCTCTCCTCACTCTTTACATTTTATTTATTTATTTATTTTTATTTATTTTTTTATTTTATTTTCATCTCGAAAATCCATTGTTTACTCTATTCTCCCTCCCCTCCATTGTTATTATTTTCTTTTCTTGATTAAGTTGTCGCCACCTTCCCCTAACCACCTAAACTCCGGCTAGGGTTTCCTTAGGGTTTTTCTAGGGTTTAGGGTTCTCCTAAACCCCCTACTCTCCCGCCTCCTCCTGTCGGGCACCCTGGACCCGAACGGTTCCTCCCCCTTCGAGCGATTTGGTGCGCTTTTCTCACGCGCGACCCGCCAAATCCGGGGTGAGCCGACTCACACATACTCACTCCGCTCCCGCGGTCCCCTTCCTCTTACCGGCGGGCCCCTCTCCCCACACACCCCCGTGAGCTCTACCTCCCTTTCCCTTCCGGCCATGGAAGGGAGTTCCTTTGAGGAGATCACCGCGACGCCGTCCACCTCCCAGGTGAGCGTTCAGCCAGCGGGTCAGGGTCAGGCCCATGCGGACACGATGGACCTTCATGCCACCCTCGTAGCGATCCAGGCGCAACTTAGTATGCTTGGACCATTGCAAGCGCAAATCAATGCGCTTGCCCTAGACGTCAACCGCCTCAAGGGCTCTCCTCATCACTCTCCCCACCGCTCCCATACCCCATCCCCTACCGGCTCCCCACGACTCCAGAGTCGGAGACATCGTGGTTCCCCCTCCTCTGCGGGCCAGGCCCAACACTCCCCCGCAGCAGTGGCGAGTGCTGCTGCCGCTCAGACCAACCCGTCTGTTGCGACAGTTCTCCCGGCCATGACCGCCCCTACCGTCTCTACTACTGCCGTAGGTGCTGTGGTCCAGGTACCGCCTTCTGGCCCAGCAGTTTCATCGACCCACACCGGTGTTGCTTCCCAGCTTCCCGCACCGGTCGTGGCAATACGGCTCCGCCCTCTTCTTCCTGCCTTCGTCCCCCCGTCCTCACAGCAGGGTACCGCCCAGGCTGGGATTCCTCCTCCCACTGGGAGACCCGCTCCGCCCCCTCCACCTCCGACCCCGCGCACCCAGCGAGTGGCCACTTTACAGGCCACCATTGCGCAGGCTCAGGCGGAGATTCTCGCTCTGAGACAGCCTCACCCATCACAGGCTGCCCACCCTTTTTCCTCTACCACCCCTTCGGTCCCCATGATGCAGGCTCGTTTCCCTCGACCTGCTCCTCAGCCTCTTCCCTCCTACCTGGCTATTCCGGGACAGCTGCCCGCGGCCGTTGCCTCCTCGTCTGCTGGTCCATCCGCCAGCGGCCACGGCCCACAGCCTTCCCCCACCTCTGCCCCTGCAACGGCCTCGACTTACGCTGCCGCAGTTCACTTGCCTCGATCTCTCTCCCCCCGCCATCAGCACAGTGGACATCCTCCTGTGCGCACCACGGACATTCCCGAGTATGATGGGACATCCCGTGTCTCTCGCTGGTTGCAGATAGCAACGCGCACGCTCTCTATGACGACCACCCGTCAGGAGTTGTGGTGCGATGTGCTCGCAACCAAATTGCGAGGTAGCCCTTCCACTGCGTGGGAGGATCATTATACCCAGCGCCTCCGCGTGGGTGAGGTCCCCACTCTGGCCGACTTCGCGGCCTTCCTTCATGACCGTTTCGACGCTCGTCATGATGCCACCGACGCCTTAGACCGCGTCACCCAGACCAGATGGTCCGGGTCCTCTGTACCGGCCGACCTGGAGCGTCACATCCGGGTGTTTCAGGACGCTCGCCTTGTTTGTGACGAGACGTTCCTACCGGAAGTCACACTCACCGACCGGTTCCTTGTCAGCTTGCCGACTGACTACCGCCTAGAGCTATGGAGACGATCATTCTCTTCCGCGGAGCAGGCATACGGGGCTGCGCGTCAGTACCAGAGGATGTGCAGTCGCTTCTCCGTCGCCCCATCCTCTTCGCGACCAGCCGCCACCTCCCAGTCTCGGGGTACCACCCGAGGCCGCTCCTCGTTTGCTGGTCATTTTCGTCACCCGGCTCGACCTGGAGCACCATTCTCTCGGCACTACAGTTCTCTCGAGTATGGAGAGGACGCCTCAGCCGAACTCGATCCTACCATTGGCGACGCCCCCGAGGACATCGAGCTTCGAGACGTCATCAAGTACCACTTGGATGACGACACTGTCCCAATGGCCGAGCGCCTGCAGATGGCCATGTCTGCCATGGGTCGTGCACGTAGTCAGGTTGCACAGGCTCGCGCACGCACACCTACGGTTCCTCAGATAGACCTCCCGCAGGGTTATGTCCCTCCTCGCGGAGCTCTATCCCCTGAGGAGCGTGCCGCCCTCGAGGCCCGACGCGGCTGCCTTCGTTGCCGCCTAGATGGACACACCTCCTCACGGTGTCCATACCAGACCGCCCTCGATCGGCACTACGCTGACATCTCTCGTCAGCGTCGATCTCAATCCCCCCCCGGCCCCGCCCGACCAGCCCCATCCACCTAGCCACGGTGCACCGTGCCCCTGAGGCCTCGCACGTAGCCGGCTTTCCCACCACCGAGTCGCGGTTTGCCCCTTTGGCTACCCCACCACAGGACCCTCAAGACAGGACAGACGCAGTTTTCTCCGCCCCATCGTCTGTCGAGGTACCGTCTGCCTCCCAGCAGACCGCCGAATCTAGCGCTTCTCCCGCGAGACTTCAGACGCGTCGCTCCATTCGCACAGCCCGTTGTAGCGCTCAGCTGGCGACTCGCGATGACGTTGTGTCATCTCTCCTGGACTTGAGCATTCTGCAGGCTCGTCAGGAGCGACTCACGAGACACGTCAACGTCCTGCGTCGTCTTCTCGCTCTGCTTTCTGACCCTGATCGCACCCTACCCATTATCCCTATTCGCCTAGGGACATCTACAAATGTGTACCGCGCTTTATGGGACTCTGGCTCGCAGGGAGATTTCGTTCACCCTCGAGTGGTTGAGGAAGCTCGCCTAGCTACCTCTGGGTCCCGCTCTCCTATCTACGTTACCCTCGGAGATAACAAGACACAGCGCTTCTTTGATCAGACGGTCCCCAACCTCCACTTCTCCCTCACCCTCCAGCGACCGGATAGTACCCAGGCGCCTCGGCGCTACCATTCCTCCGCATACTTCGATGTGTTGGAGAGTGGGTACGACTTTATCCTTGGCACTCCCTGGTCTCGCCGGTTCCGTAGCACAGAGGCCGAATGGGCGACCGAGACACTCGTTCTCAAAACGAAGTGTGGTCAGACCCATCGCGTCCCCTTCATTGGAACCACGGGCGACACTCCTCCCGACCTACCTCCCCGGGACCCTCATCCCTCAGGATCTCATCCCGACATTGCCTTCACCTCCCCTCGTCAGTTTGCTCACTTCATACGACAGGAGGACGTCACGTTCTACTCAGTGAACGTCATGGATCTTCTTCGCTACGATCCACTCTGTCCCGAGGTTGAGCTCATCTCTTTGGAGCCCGATCCCCCTGACCCACCTTCCATCTTCGCGGCTCCCATCTCTACATCCACTCGTCAGCCTGCGGATATCCCCTCCACGTCTGAGGCCCCTGCGCCGTCGACTGTCGAGTCCACACATACGTCTCGTGCCGACGCAGATGCTGAGGAACTCACACGGTTCACGACAGACTTAGAGCCAGCCGTTCACGACCTGATTCGAGAGTACCGCGACGTCTTTCCCCCGTACTTCTCATACAGCGGGATTCCCCCGATGCGCGGTGTTGAGCATTTTATCCAGCTCGTGTCTGACTATCGTGTTCACCATCAGGCACCGTACCGACTCTCGATTCCAGAGGCGACGGAACTCAAGCGTTAACTTGAGGAGCTCCTTCGACTGGGTTTCATTAAACCCAGTAACTCCCCTTGGGGTGCACCTGTCCTCTTTTCTCGCAAAGCGGACGGAACTCTTCGCCTCTGCATCGACTACCGCGGCCTTAAGCGTTACACGGTTAAGAACAGCTATCCCATGCCTCGCGCGGATGAGCTGTTTGACCGTCTGGTAGGCAACCGCTTCTTCACGAAGATCGATCTTCGTAGCGGTTACCACTTGATCCGCGTTGCCACAGAGGACCAGCCGAAGACCGCCTTTCGGTCGCGCTTCGGCCACTACGAGTTCACGGTGATGCCATTCGGCCTCACCAATGCCCCCGCCACCTTCCAGACGGCGATGAACGACATCTTCAGGGACATCCTTGAAGAATACGTTCTCGTATACCTGGACGACGTCTTGGTCTACAGTCGTACCTTAGAAGACCATCTCAGACACCTCCGTGATGTCCTACAACGCTTACGCAAGCATGGCTTCTATGCCAAACTCAGTAAGTGCCGCTTTGCCCAGCGCAAAGTGGACTTCCTAGGATACCATGTGTCTGACCAGGGTCTCCACATGGACGACGCGAAGATCACTGCTATTGCAGAGTGGCCCGTCCCCACATCTGCCAAGCAGCTTCGCAGTTTCCTAGGCCTCACCAGCTACTATAGTAATTTTATCCAGGGATACGCTAGATATTCCTACGTCCTTACCTCCACCCTCCTCCGGAAGAACCCGCCGTGGTTTTGGACACCCCTGTGCGAGAACGCCTTTCGCGCCCTCAAGAAGGCGGTGACTTGTGCGCCAGTTCTTCGCCTCCCTGATTTTGATCGTCCCTTTATCGTCACCACCGATGCGTCAGATTTTGCAGTAGGAGCAGTCCTCTCTCAGGTGTTTCCCTCTCCTCTGGATTCATCTTATCCTCATGTTCCTCCTTTCCCCCCCCCTCCTACTGACACTGCTTCTCGACTGACGCCTACCCTCCCACCACTTCCCTCCACTGACAGTCCTCCTGTTACTTACTCCCCGACCATCGCGGAGGATGGGACTGTCGAGGCTCGTGGTGGGGATTGCCCGATCGCTTTCTACTCCCGTCAGCTACTGCCTGCCGAGATAAACTACATCGCCGATGAACGTGAGGTTCTCAGAGTAGTTTATGCTACCCGGCATTGGCGTCATTATCTTCACGGGGCGCCCTTCACGGTGCGCACGGACAACTCAGTTGTCCAGGCTTTCCTCACGAAGCCTAAGCTTTCCCCTCGACAGGCACGCTGGTGGTGTGCCTTATCCGAGTTCAGTTTCACCACTCAGCCCATCAAGGGTGAAACGAACCGCGTCGCCGATGCCTTGTCCCGCCGTCCTGATCACAATTAGGAACCCATCCATCTTGCTGCGATCTCCATCACCATCTTGCTGCCATCTCCATCACCACTGTTGATCAGTCGGTGATCGACGCGTATCGCACTCAGTACCGCCACTGCCCCGATTATTGCGTCATCCACGCGATACTGCGGAGTGGCAAGACCGTCCCTTCCTACTCCCTCGGGGAGAACGGCCTTGTGTACTGGCATGGCAGATCTGGTCAGCTAGAACCACGTATCTGCGTTCCCTCCACTGGACAGCTCCGCGTCCAGACCATAGCAGAGTTCCATGACCAGGCAGCTGCCGGTCATACGGGTTTCCACAAGACTTGGCTCGTGTTTGCCGCCTATACGTCTGGTCAAAGTTCAAGGACTTTGTCAAAGCCTACATCCAGGAGTGTCCTACCTGCTAGGAGGTGAACAGTGCGAACCACCTTCCGTATGGGTTACTTCGGCCCCTACCCATACTTGAGGGTCGTTGGCAGTCCATTTCGATGGATTTCATTGGTCCCCTCCGCCCACCTACTGAGCGCGGTCATGATGCTATCTTGGTCGTCGTCGATCACTTCACGAAGCGTGCACGTTTTGTTCCGTGCCGCTATCGCATCAGCGCTCGTGAGGTCGCCGACATCGTCTTCGACCGAGTTGTGAGAGATCACGGCTTACCTCAGAGCATCATCTCCGACCGTGACCCGCGCTTTACCAGCACATTCTGGCGACGCCTACACGAGGTGTACGGATCCCAGCTCCGCTTCTCATCGTCTTACCACCCTCATACGGATGGTCAGACTGAGGTCACCAACAAAACTCTCGGTAAAATCCTCCGAAAGTTTGTTAGGGATGACCAGCAGTGAAACTTACACTTAGCCCACGCGGAGATTGCGTACAACCACGCTGTTTCGCCATCCATGGGGATGTCGCCATTCTATTGCGACCTCGGCTACCACCCTCGCGTACCCGCAGATTTCCTACGACCATCGCGGTTGCGCCCAGACACTCGTTGCCCTGCGCTTGACGACTGGATCGCCCACATGGCGGCGATTATGAAGCGCGCACATGAGAGTTTAGCCGACTCCCAGACTCGCATGGCCGCACGAGCGAACCGATCACGAATGGATCATCCATTCAAAGTCGGTGACGATGTGCTTGTCGACGCACGCCGTTTACAGCTCGAAGCAGATACGCTTCGCTAGTTCAGGCGTCGTTTCTTCGGTCCATTCCGCATCCTTCAGGCCGTCGGCTCTGACACTGCAGCTAGTCCGGTCAGCTTCCGTGTGAAGCTACCTGATTACCTTCGACAGGCTCGCTTACACGATGTTTACCACGTCTCCTTGCTGCGTCCTTATCGCAGACCGTCCGAGCGCTTCGCCGGACGCCCTTATGAGCGCCCTCCACCTATCATGGTGGACGGTCACGAGGAGTTCGTTGTTTCCGACATCGTATCACGCCGAGTTACCGACGATACCCCTCCACGCATCGAGTACCTTGTGCGTTGGAAGGGTTACCCTGATGAGGAGGCTACTTGCGAGCCCCTCGAGCACTTGCAGCACGCCAGGATGTTGATGCGTGCATATGATCGTGCTCGTCGTGCTGAGACATCTGCTTCTACTCAGCCGACTGACCCTCTTCCTCCTCCTCCGGATGAGGAGATTGCTGAGGACGAGCCCGCTCCCTCTGAGGCCGTTCCTCAGCCGCAGACGGTCGCCTCCGAGCGTCCACAGCGCACTCATCGTCGCCGTTCGCGTTACGATGATTGACACTCTTATCCTCCATCGTTCCCCACTGATTCACACCATCAGGTACTCCATCATCAACTCTTCTTCAGGATGTCAGCGTTTTGCGGCTCTGCTTCGACATCGACCCGACTGCTACTTCATCGACGTCATCGACCACTTCGACGACTTCAGCTACCTTATCGGCTTCAGCTACTTTGGACGTGACTATTTCACGCCACCACCCTACCCTGTACATTCCCTTGCATTTGTCGCATGATGGTTCTCACTTAGTTGGGTCTCTTTGAGTTGGGCTCTCCATTGGTATCGCATAGGCATTGGGACCGTAGCGTTATCTTGACTTCCTTGCTCCCAGATCTAGCTCCCTCCTCCCCCAGTTGGTGAGTTGTGTGTATATTTCCCTCACCCACTGCCCTCATCACCCTAGTGCCGGCCCTTGCATGCCTTCAGCTAGGCATATCTCCACCCTATTCCAGGCTCCCCCCTTTTCATGGTCGACCCTGCATGGTGTCACCCTTTTGTCGAGCATTACCCGCCTTGATGGTCTATTTGTTAGGGTCATTGGTTTTGTTTCGCTGCCACTCTCCCACCTTGAGCCTGATGACCTATCCCACCTTCATGTGTGACTGCCCTTAGGAGTTTCGATTCTTAGGCTGCATTCACCCCCTCTGAGACCATCCCACTCTTAGTGGTTCAGCGACATGACATTATCTTCTGACATATTGCTCTTTTCCTTTCAGCACTGAGGCCACTGCCTCCAGGACTTTAGGATTGTATCATACTACATTTCATTTTCTGTTGTTAGCTAGGATATGTATACCAGACATTTGCTTTTTCTTTGACATTATGTAGCTTAGGATGCATCGCATGGACTCCGCATGGAGCTTGCTCCGCATCCTAGATTTCTCAGCTTTCTTTATTGCAGAGTTCCGCTGCTTTTGCGGATAGCGTGTTTATGGCTCTTGCGATCCATTACAGGTCTGAGGATCGTGCAGCGGGCCTTCATCTGCCCTAGTCTACAGCCAAGGCCTATTTGGCTATTTGCCCAATTCGGCCTGTGGGACCAGGCCGTGGCCTGACCCCACAGGCCGTGTGCTGTTCTAGTCCTGCCCGGTACCACTGTCGGTACCAGTCCAGTCCAGTC